CCACCGGACCCTGTCCTGGGCCAACAAAATCCAGTCTCCTTCAACTCCTATCTCCCATAGATCTTGCCTGAGATTATCCTCCCATCTACGTCTAGGTCTCCCCAGCAGTCTCTTCCCCTCAGGCTTCAGGACCAATACCCGGTGCACACCTCTTGTCCCATCCATGCGCGCTACATTCCCTGCCCATCTCATTCTTTTTGACTTCATCACCCTGACAATATTGGGGGAGGAGTACGTGATTCTCACTCTAGTAATGCATTCTGAGCTCTTTGAAGGTGCACAGTGGAGTCAGCACTGATCTGAACTACTGGGGGGTTTTCTCCACTAGATCTATGCCAAAACCTGTACCAACCCTGAAAAACAACTGACTAGTCTGCAAGAGAATTTTGTGTTTTATTTGTTGAACTTGTATAATACTTCTTGATACTCTTTTACTTAAAACTGGTTAATTAATTTTTTCATTAATTTGTTTATTCAACCATCTAACAGCTGTTCCAAAACTCATAACCAAACAATGCAACTTTTCTGTCCATAATGCTACCAACTTTGTTAATTTGGCCTCTAGCTGTGAATTATATTTTTTTAAGCCAAATCATGGAAATCATGATAATCATTATATTGGTTGTGATGATGGTGTGAAGTTTATGTTGTTTTGGTTTGTGAATTGAAACTAAGCATATGATTTTGTTTTCCATTTCTCCATGATATCTCATTGTTTATTGTATATTTTAGTGATTTAGAAATCATAAATATTCACTAAAAATATTCCTTTTCGTGTCATTTCAGCCTCACGACGTCACTTTGAAATAGCATTTCGAATGTTTGACCTTAATGGAGATGGGGATGTGGACTCTGAGGAATTTGAGAAAGTGGCAACTTTAGTTCGACAACAGACGAGCATTGGAAGTCGTCACAGAGATCATGCCAATACTGGTAACACCTTTAAGGTTCGTTCATAATGTAAATGAAGGCTCAGTGCTGTTCAGAACGGTAATATTTTTAGTTTAAAATATGAAGACTTCCAGTTTTAAACAAATCTCTTTTATTATGCATGATGTCCAAATATTTACACCTTTTCGTGTCACACTCTGTATTGTATCCTTTGACTAGTGTTTTGGACCAAGAAAATAATGACTAGTAAACATTCTTATTTTGACAAGAAGTAGAGAAACTGTCAAGATCATTGAGGCTCATTGTTAGAGTGGGGTCCGCGGTCTGAGGCGTGGGCCTTGTGCCGCTTGGTCGCGGGGACCGTGGGTTCGAATCCCACTCAAGCCATGGATGTTTGTCCAAGTTTTTCTGTGTTGTGCTGTTCTGTGTACAGGCAGAGGCCTTGCGACGGGCCGATCCCTCATCGTAAGAGTTCTGCCGAATGTTTATAGATCGAGCCAATGAAAAGTTGGGACCCACAGTGCTCAGACATTTGAAGAACAGGTCATTCCCAGTACCCAGTCATTGTTAGAGTGCATTGTATCCTGACAATAAATATTTGGCTGTAGATGCTATTTCTGTGACTTGATGTAGGAAACATGTCAAGGGAACAAGAAAAGATAAGAATACTGAAAAACAGCAGGGATGATCAAAGTCTTCTGTAACCAATGGAAATGTACAAGAGTCAAAATAAGTTTAAAAACAGCAAAAATTAGTGTCAGATTAAAGACAGAATATTTGAACATACCAACGGTAGTAGCTCAAGAAATGTTAACTTAATGGAGAAATATATCACCAAACCTGATGGCCTGATTTTAACTCCACTTCCCACTGGTCAGGCCATGGTTCTGCCTTGACTGTCAGTTTCCTATATCTGAAACCAATTCTATGCATGTGGCTTACTCATCGCCCTGATGACGGAGGCAGTATGACCTCTGAAACGTTGGCTAACATCGACCAGACTGCACAGCGCAACAACCCAGAAGACAGAAATCTTCATACTCTGATGACGGAGGCAGTATGACCTCTGAAACGTTGGTAAACATCTACCAGACTACACAGCGCAACAACCCAGAAGACAGAAATCTTCATACTCTGATGACGGAGGCAGTATGACCTCTGAAACGTTGGTAAACATCGACCAGACTACACAGCGCAACAATCCAGAAGACAGAAATCTTCATACTCACCGCTGTGAAAACCTCAAATCTTACGTTGGTAAACTTCCATGAGACTACACAGCGTGAAATCCCAGAAGACAGCCATCTTTAAAAGCAAAAGAGTTTCTTGTGACATCAGTCAACTTGATCAACTGTATATTCTCCTGGAAGTTCCTTATTTTCCAAACTAAATGTCTAGAAGAATGCAGTTATAAAGCATTGAAGACAAAATGGAAATTGAGTGCTGTAGTTCTCTCTGAACATTTTTTTTAACAAATTTCATTGAGAATCTTAGTAATAATGAAAGTCTTTAATTACAGGGTGTGAACTCAGCTTTGACAACATATTTCTTCGGTCCCAATATGAATCAGAAACTCACAATTGAAAAGTTTCTTGAGTTTCAACATCAGCTCCAGAGAGAAATTCTCAGTCTTGAGGTACGTTTAAAACAGCAATTGGAACTCATTAGTAATATTTTTAGACACCAGAATCCCTTGCCAACTGCAGGTATTATGATCTGAAAAGTACCAAATTGGCACTAACAAAGCTTTATGGGAAACTGGAAGTTGTCCTTCACTTGTCAAAGACTGAGTTACATTTTCCTTCACTAAATAAAAAGGATTAAATTTTGTTGCTTGCCTTTAAGACATTAGATTAAGATGATGGCTGTGACATTGATAATATGACTATAGTGATGTGGAAGCTCCTGATTTTCTCAGTTTTTTACACAAATTTA